GGAGGTGTCAGAATATGGGCTGTGGTAGGCGTGCATTCTGCGATCGCAGCAGGAGAATGCTGCCCAAGACTGCCTGCCGCCACGCCCCAGCCGGAGACCCACGCTGCCTCTGTCCCGAAGGTTCCCGCCAGAGGCCACCGTTGCGACCGCATGTCTTCCTTCGTGCGGGTAGCTACCTGTTCTGTGGCAATGGCGGGGCCTTCTCGAGTGGACGGGCCAAGACAATTCTGTTGGCCTGCGACGGAGAGCCTGCCAACTCACAGGCACGCTGTCGCAGAGGGAAGCTACTCTGTGGAGAGCACCCCTACACTCGGGTGAGGCTTTGTGACGGACCTGCCGAGCCGCTCTCGCCAAGCGAAGCGGACGAGGTCCGCACGGCACTGCTCAGCGCTGGGTAGCCGCCGGGGGGGGGGGGGCGAAAGTGGCAGGAGGCGCGACCCTGTCTGGCCCCAGCACAACACTTCTCAGGCCTCGGTCGGCAGCAGAGCGCAGCCAGGGGAGATCAGGAAGAAGAGCCATCCCCCTCATCGTCCTCCCTCCGGCTCCTTCCCAGAACCCTTGCGCCATTGCAACACACCGCCCTCTCATGGACGACCCCACCGAGGCAGCACACCACACACTCGAAGATCCCTATGAAACAGAGTCCCGGCCGCGAATATCTCGCCCAGAAGGCTTCTAATGGAACTACCCCAGCACTTCCAGTGCTCGACCTTGCCGTCTCCAGTGCTTGACTGTTCCGTTTCCAAGATTGGGAAATAGCGTTTACAGTGTTGTTGCCAGCTTTTATTTCCAAAGATGAGTCATCGATTTCTCGGTCTCGGAATTCAAGCGGGAGAAAGGAGGAAGAGGAGGGAAGGAGGAAGAGGGACAGGAGAATGGGGGCGAAGAGGAGGAGGAACACGAAGAGGAGGAAGGGGGGAAAGGAAAAGGAAGGGTGTTGAACGTCTTTGGCCATTTAGGGCCCATGGGAGATCTCTGAAGGCCTGGGGGCCTCGGGACACCTCCAGAGGTGAGCCAATTTCTCACAACAGGTCATTCGATCTCCAGATTGCGGATCAACTCCCTGATCAACCAGGGCCCCAAAGACGACACGATTTTGTTGTTGGACATCGTCTTTCCAGAGTTCAACCCCCGAGCGACGACATTGGCAGCTCCCCTCAGCGTTGCCAAGCCCTCCGGGAACACGAAAATTGCCACGTCCTACCTGCACGTCCTCAACGTACCTGCTTCCCAGAATCGATCCTTGCGAAGGACCCAACCATATGCAGATATGAGTAACGCAATTGTTGGCATCGTCATCGGTGGAGCTTCCCATGGGGCCACGAAACGTGTGAGTGGTGCGCCGAAATGGGCGCGGCGCTGCCATGCGTGGAGCTCCCTGTGGGACCACGAAACGTGTGAGGAGTGTGCCAAAATGGGCGCGGTGCTGCCATGCGAGCGCAGCCACTGGAGCCTTCGGTAGAGCCCCCTATGGGGCCACGAAACGTGTGAGGGGTGTGCCGAAATGGGCGCGGCGCTGCCATGCGAGCGCAGCCACTGGGGCCTTTGGTGGAACTCCCTTTAGGGCCAGGAAACGTGTGAGGGGTGTGCCGAAATGGGCGCGGCGCTGCCATGCGAGCGCAGCCACTGAGGCCTTCGGTTGAGCTCCCTATGGGGCCACGAAACGTGTGAGGGGTGTGCCGAAATGGGCGCGGCGCTGCCATGCGAGCGCAGCCACTGGGGCCTGTGGTGGAGCTCCCCATGGGGCCACGAAACGTGTGAGGAGTGTGCCGAAATGGGCGCGACGCTGCCATGCGAGCGCAGCCACTGGGGCCTTCGGTGGAGCTCCCTGTGAGACCACGAAACGTGTAAGGGGTGTGCCGAAATGGGTGCGGCGCTGCCATGCGAGCGCAACCACTGGGACCTTTGGTGGAACTCCCTCTGGGGCCACGAAACTTGAGAGGGGTGTGCCGAAATGGGTGCGGCGAGGCCATGCGAGCGCAGCCAATGGGGCCTTGGGTGGAGCTCCCTATGGGGCCACGACGCGTGTTAAGGGTGTGCCGAAATGGCCGCGGCGCTGCCATGCGAGCGCAGCCACTGGGGCCTTCGCTGGGGCTCCCTATGGGGCCACAAAACTTGTGAGGGGTGTGCCGAAGTGGTGAAAGAGAGGAGGAGGGGGAGGAGGGGAGGAGGAAGGGAGCAGCGGGAGGAAGGAGTGAGACGAGTCGCGCTCTCTTCAACGAGGACCCAACACCGCAGGATGGCTGGGAAAAACATCGACATCGGACATGACGGCCCCACGTGTGCCGAGACAGCACTGGGTGGTTCGAATATGTTGTAAAAGTGCGCACCACAGGCCTTGAAATTCCTGAAGATGCCTCATGCTCGTCCAAGATGCCCTCCGAGACTATCCAGATGGCATCCGAAGCAACCCACATGGCCAGATGGCCCAGCCTTCGAGATCTTCAAGGCAGCATCAGCAAAGGATCAAAATAGATATCAACATGCCATGTTCCAGTACGTCTTCCCTGTCGAATGTTTGGCTTCCAGGAGACCTAACGACGGCCCAAGATGACCCTCGGGGGCCCCGAGGCGGCCAGGAGATTGCCAAGTATGGGAAATAGATGGTGCCTCGAGGCCTCAGATTCTGTATCGCCTAAGATGGCCTGACATTGCCGCAAGGTGGCCCAAAGCTACCCCCGAGAAGCCCCAGAGGACCAGAGACGGCCCCCTCCTCTCCCACCCCCCTTAGATCGACGAGAAGCAGGGACGCAGAGCCAAAACAGTAGACACCACGGGCATTGCACTGTAATGCTTCCACTTCCTGTGAATTGTGGACCTGGGTCCCCACCTCCTCGCTACAACTCCCTCCTCCTCCCACGCTTTCATGCGAGGAGAACCTGGCTATCTTCCGTCACACCTTTTCTCCAGAGGCACCGATCACTGCGAATGACGAACATCGAAACTCATCTTTCCTCCCATATCTCTCATCCCTTCTCCCTCCTCCTCCATCTCATCCCTTCCCCCTTCGCCTCACACATTATACTCCTGCTTCCCACCCAACCCAGATCTCCTTCCTCCCTCCTCGTCCTCCTCCTTCTGATCCGCCTGCTCCTCACAATCAGCATCATCATCATCAGCATCATCACCATCATATGTACCACCATCATCATCATTATCATCAAATTCATGAGCAGCAGTAGCGTCATCACAATCACAATCACCATCACCATCACCATCCCCATCACCATCATCACCGGCACAATCATAATCAGCATCAGCAGCAGCAGCATAATCGTCGTCACCATCCGCAGCATCCTCGTCATCATCAGCAGCAGCATCATGATCCTCCTCATCATCTTCATCATCAGCATCATATTCCTCGTCGTCATCGTCCGAATTCGCATGACCATCGTCATCAGCATGAGCAGCAGCAACATCACTATAAACAGCATCACCACCACTCATCATCATCATCATCAGCAGCAGCAGAAGCAGCAGCAGCATATTCATCACCGCCACCAGCATCAGCCTCTGCAGCCGCCGCATCATCATCAGCCTCTGCAGCAGCAGCATCATCACCATCGACAGCATCATCAGCATCAGCAGCGGCATCAGCATCCTCATCATCATACTCGTCCTCACCCTCCTCATCATCGGCATCATCATCGTCATCAGCATCATCAGTATCAGCATCAACATCATCATCATAAACGTCAGCACGTCCATCAGCGACATCAACATCAGCAGCAGGATCCTCATCATAATCATCATGGCCATCGTCATTATCAGCATCAGCATCATCATCATCATCAGCCGCAGCAGTATCACCATCATCAGCATCATCATCAGTAGTATGACCGTCGTCGGCTTCGCCATCATCGTCATCAGCAGCAGCATCATCAGCATCATCAGCAGCATCAGCATCAGCATCAGCATCAGCATCATCATCATCATCATCATCATCATCATCATCACCATCATCATCATCAGCAGCAGCAGCAGCATCAGCATAAGCATCAGCATTGCCAGCATCAGCATCAGCATAATCTCCACACCATCATCCGCATCAGCATCGTCACCATCAACATAACCAGCATCACCAACACCACAATGGCCATCACCATCACCGTCAGAATCCTCATCAGCATCATCATAAGCATCAGCATCAGTAACATCAACGTCACCATCAGCGTAATCGTCAGCATCAAAATCAACGTCGTCAACATCATCATAACCATCATCAAAATCATCATCATCATCATCATCATCATCATCATCATCATCATCAACCGAATCATCCTCGTAACCGTCAACATACTCCTAGCTACCATCATCAACCTCATCAGCATGACCAGCCTCAGCATCATCATCAGCATCATCCTCGTCATCGTCACCGTCACCGTCATCATAATCATCAGCATCAGCATCATCATTGTCAACATCAGCATCACCAGAATCGTTACCACCAACACCGGCAGCGCAATCAGCATCAACCTCATCATCCTCATCATCGGCAGCATCCTCATCAGCATCATCATCACCACCACCATCATCATCGTCATCTGCATCATCAACATCAACATCCTCATCCTTGTAAGCCTCACAGCCAGCAGCATCATCATCACAATCATCGTCACCATACGTCCTCTTCCCCCTCCTCTTCCTCCTCCTCCACAGGCTGGGCTGGGCGGGTTGCTTCAGTCCTGCTCACAATGCACAACCCCCGAAGCTGATCACTCCGACGGTTACACGGGTGGAGGGCTGGTGGTGTTCGAAATTTGGCGTTCGTCGTAGTGCCGCGCACAATCGTCTCAAAGGGTTCCAGCGGTTTCGCGGATGGCGCCCGACCTGTTTTCAAACCGGGGTGTTATGTGTGAGACAGCCTGAAAATATCCCCACTGGACAAGACGGTGCGGCAGTTGGACGGATGGAGAGCCGCTCCTGTTCAGCATGGGAACTTCGGAGAAACTTCGCTTGATTGTTCGCTTGACTTTCGGATACAGCGCGAGCGCGACTGGTCCTCCTCGGAGAAGACGTTGCTGACCCTGGACAAGGAGCTGTGCGACTCCCTGGGCTGCGCCCCCTGCGCGGCTGCCACCGCGGTGGGATCCTGCGATTGGGGGAGGGCGGCAGCGGCAGGCACTCTTCCTCAGAAGACAGTCAGCAGTCACGGCGAGCCCGTCAATGCGGGAGAGCACGGCTAAGGTCAAAAGGGAAAAGCTATACAGAGAAGGGAGAGGAAAGTTGGGAGTGGGGAGGGAGGCTGAATAATGCACTCAGAAAAGGTCATTGTCGTCGTCGTCGCCGCAAACAGCATCACGCACAGAGCATCCCCGCCGTCACTTACATCAACAACATCATCGCCAGTGCGACTCATCCTCATGATCATCATCATCATCATCATCATCATCATCAGCAGCAGCAGCATCATCATTATACTCATCCCCATCACCATCACCATCATCATCATCATCATCATCATCATCATCATCATCATCATCATCATCATCATCATCGTCGTCAGCATCAGCATCAGCATCAGCATCATCAGTTTCAGCATCAGCATCACCATCAACAGCAGCATCATCGTTACCATCAGCATTACACCAGCATCCGAATCATCAAAACAAACAGCCACATCCGCATCAGCAACAGCATCACCCCTACCACCACCACCACCACCAGCATCATCATCAGCATCATCATCATCGTCGTCATCATCAGCACCCTCATCATCATCATCATCGTCATCAGCAGCAGCAGCATCATCGTCATCAGCATCGTCCTCATCATGGCCATCGTCACCGTCATCATCATCAGCATCGTCATCAGCAGCAGTAGCATCATCAGCAGCAGCATCATCAGCGCCATCCTCATACCATCATCATCATTATCAGAATCACAATCAGCAGCATCACCCTCGTCATCAGCATCATCATCGTCGTCACCGGCATTGAGGCCAACATCGTCAACCATCGTCCGCCACACCATCAACAGGACAGCACCATCAGCATCGTCATCATCATCAGCATCGTCATCATCGCGACATGATCATCATCATCATCATCATCATCAGCAGCAGCATCATCATCATCATCATCATCATCATCATCATCATCATCATCAGCAGCATCATCATCATCATCATCATCGTCATCGTCATCAGCATCATCATCATCATCATAATCATCATCATCATCATCATCATCATCATCATCATCATCACCATCATCATCACCATCATCGCCGTCGCCATCACCATCAGCAGCAGCATCGTCGTCATAATCAGCAGCATCAGCATCGGCATCATCAGCGTCATCAGCATGATGGGAATCCTCATCACAACCGCCACCATCATCATCATCACCATCATCATCATCATCATCATCATCACCAAAATCAGAAAGATCCACATCATATTCAGCATCAGCAGAAGCATCATTAGCATTGTCATCATCATCAGCAGCATCGTCATCACCATCATCATCATCATCAGCATCATCATTATCGGCGTCATCATCATCATCGTCATCATCATCAGTATCAGCATCAGCCTCATCATCATCATCAATACAATCGTCATCATCAGCATCAGCATCATCATCCGCAGTACCACCATCATCATCATCATCTTCAGTATCAGCATCATCAGCGTCATCAGCATCATCAGCATCATCAGCATTCCTCCTCCTTCTCCCCCTCCTGCTCCCTCGATGTCCTATTCATCCCCATCCCCCCTCTCCTTGTCCAAACCCCCTCCATCATCGCCCGCCTTCCTCATCCACATATCATGTCCCAGGAAGAGATGTGTTTTCATTCCCCCATTCGTGTCTCAAATTCCTTTCCTCAGTTTCGGGTGCTTGACAAGAGGCTGAGCCCGCTGTAACGGCGTTTCGGGATGCGGCCTTCCTTGAAGACGGCGAACCCCGGCTGCTATTAGCTTGGTGAACGCCTTCGTTGAGAGCCAAAACAAACCGACCCACCCCTCCTCTTCCTCCTCGCTAGCATCCTGCCTCCACCATCCTTCTTCCTCATCCTCCTCGTCTTCCTCATGCTCCTCCGCAACCTCCTACCTCCTCTTCCTCCTCCTCCTTCTGCCCCTCCTCTTTCTCCTCCTCGTGCTCATCCTCTTCCTCCTCCTCTTCGTCCTCCCTCCCTCCCTCACTCTCTCTCCCACCGCCCTCTCCTCCTCATCCTCCTCCTCCAAGCGCGCTCGAACGTTTTGGTCTGGCTTCCTCCTCCCCGCCCCCACTCCCCACCTCCCCTCTCCTCCCTCTTGCCCGCTCCGCCGAGAGAAAGGCTCGGGCGGGCGTGGTGGAGGATTGAGTTTCTGTTCTTAGGCTGTTAGCCCTGAAGAGCGCCGAGACGCTGGCACAGGCATCCAGAGGCCATGGGGCACCCCTGCAGACATCCAAAACCTCCAAGAGTGAGGAGGGAGGGAGGGAGGAGGAGGAGGAGGAGGGGGAGGAGGACGACGACAACGACGATGACGAAAACGTCGACGACAGCGTCGGCGCCGACGAAAATTAGGACGAGGGGGGACCTGCCCTGCGCTATCTGCGCAGGCCAGAACGGCGACGGGTGCGCAGGAGGCGAAAGGCAGAGATGGAGGAGGAATGGGCGTCGTTCGGCGTCGTACGTCGGTTCGTCGTTCGGCGACGACGACGGCGACGACGACGACAACGGCGACGACGACGACGACGACGGCGACGGCAAGTTTGGAGTTTGCTGGTGATGTCTCTTCGTCCTGGCCGGGCCCTCGTGGCCACGACTGGACGCAGCTGGGGAAACGGATCAGGATGGACCCTTGAAGGGAGACGGGGGCCGATTCTAAGGGCAGAGGAGGAGGAGGGGGAGGGTAGAGCAGATGATGTGATCGGCAGCCGTCGGGGCGTTGCCATGTTCTTGGGTAGCATGCTTGAGCTGCCCACTCCTCTGTGTCATCCATCTCTTCCTCCTCCTCCTCCTCCTCCTCCATCCCTCCAACGCTCGACATGTCGCATGTCCAGATTAACAGCTCCTACCTGAATAAAATCCCCACGCCACCGGCCTGGCCTCTGCAGGCCGTGAACGCATCCTTCGAGGCAGGATAAAATTCGGAGGGCGGGGGGGTGCAATGAAGTTAAAAACCAAGAGAGGGAGAGAGGGGCCAGCGGTCAGCGCGCTAGTGTCCAGCACCGCCTGGAATAATGCCCCTCCACGGCTTCCTCACATCCGACTTTGACGTAGAGAGCACACGAAACGGGCCGCGGCGGAGACTAGCATGTTAGCCCTCGCCGATGGTTTACCTGCGACGCGCACAGGCGAGTACTCGCATGCTTGTTCTGTCCACCAACACTGCCCAGAGAGAGTGGTCATACGTGGCCCCATGAGCACGCATGAGCGATGCTGAAATCAACGCAGGGAATAACAAAAAAAATGATGCTGCCGCGCTCGTTTCCGATGACACACTTGGCACCCCCAGACCCACCAAGCGCAGGACCTCCAATCCTTATCCTCCTCGTCCTGCGCCTCATCATCATCATCATCAGCATCATCATCATCATCAGCATCATCATCATCTCCATCATCATCCTCATCCTCATCATCATCATCATCATCATCAGCAGCAGCAGCATCAGCATCAGCATCATCATCACCACCACCACCAGCAGCCGCATCACGATCGTCGTCGTCATCATCATCACCATCAGTAGCAGCATCATCAGCATCAGCATCGTCAGCATCATCATCAGCATCAGCATCAAAAGCAGCATCGCCATCGTCGTCATCATCACCAACCCCATCATCAGCAGCATCAGCATCAGCAGTATCATCATCAACAACAGCTTCACCATCAGCATCATCATCACGAGCAGCATCACCATCACCACCATTCAATCACCAGCATCATCATCGTCATCATCATCACCATCATCATCACCACCATCATCATCACCACCATCATCATCATCATCATCATCATCAGCAGCATCATCATCTTCGTCATCATCATCATCAGCATCAGCACCACGATCATCATAAGCATCAGCCGATTCAGCATCATGCTCAGCAACAGAAGCAGCATCATCTGCATCATGGTCATCAGCAGTGGCATCGGCACCAGCATCATTACCATCATCAGCAGCAGCATCATCAGCAGCATCACCGTATCCCTCGCCTCCGCCTCCTACGCCCCCTCCCCCTCCTGCACAGCATCATCATCAGCAGCAGCATCATCATCATCAGCAGCATCATCATCGTCATCATCGTAATCATCATCATCATCATCATCATCATCATCATCATCATCATCATCATCATCAGCATCATCATCATCAGCAGCAGTATCATCATAGCATCATGATGATGATGATCATCATCATCAGAAGCACAATCATCAGCATCGTCATCACCGTCATCATCATATCATCATGATGATAATCAGCAGCAGCATCATCAGCATCATAATCAGCATCATCGTCAGTAGCATCATCAGCTGCATCATCCTCATCATCGCCCTCATCATCATCATCATCATCATCATCATCATCATCATCATCAGCAGCATCAGCATCGTTACCACCACCAGCATCAGAACAGCATCAGGCTCATCATCAAACTCAGCATGAATATCAGCATCATGATCAGCACCATCAGCATCGTCATCAGTATCAGCATCATGATCAGTATCATCATAGCCGCCAACATCAGCACCCTCATCGTCAGCATAAGCATCATCATCATCAACATCCATCATCAGCATCATCAGCATCCGCGTGATCAGCACCATCAACAGCATCATCATCATCATCCGCATCCTCAATGTCATCATCATAATCATCATCATCATCATCATCATCATCATCATCATCATCATCATCATCATCGTCATCATCATCATCAGCAGCATCGTCATCATCATCATCATCATCATCATCATCATCATCATCAGCATCATCATCATCACCATCAGCCTCGTCGTTCTCCTCCTCGTCCTCTTCCGCCTCATCCTCCACCTCCTGCTGCTGCAACTGCTCCTCCTCGTTCTCCTACTCCTCATATTTGCCCTTCTCCCCCAAACAGATCCTAATCATCATCAGAATCATCAGCAGCATCATCTTAAGCATGAGCATCATCATCGGCATTAGCATCTGAATCAGCACCATCAACATCATCATCGTAATCAGCAGCATCAGCAGCATTATCATCATCAGCATCGTCATCACCATCGTCAGCAACATCATCAGTATCATCATCTGGATCAGAATCACCACCCTCTTCAGCATCATCATCAGCATCATCATCATCAGCATCAGCATCAGCATCACCATCATCATCAGCATCAGCATCAGCATCAGCATCATCATCAGAATCATCGTCATCATCATCATCATCATCATCATCATCATCATCATCGTCATCATCATCATCATCACCATCATCATCATCATCATCATAAGCATCAGCATCATCATCGTAATCAGCATCGTCATCATCATCATTATCATCATCATCAGCATCATCAGCATCAACATCGTCCCACTCCTCCCCCTCGTCCTCCTCCTCCGCCTGATCCTCCTCATCAACCTCCTCCTCATTCTCATCCTCCTCGTCCTCATCCTCGTTCTCATCCTCCGCGTCCTCATCCTACTCCTCATCCTGCTCCTCCTCCTCCTGCGCCTCCTCCGCCTCTTCCGCCTCCTCCGCCTCCTCCGCCTCCTCCTCCGCCTCCTCTTGCCCCCACCCCCATTCCTCCTCCTCCTCCGACTCCTCCGACTCATCCTCCTCCTCCTCCGCCTCCTCCTCATCCTCCTCCTCGTGCGCCTGGTATGCCTCTTCCGCCTCTTCCACCTCCTCCTCCTCCTCCTCCTCCTCCTCCTCCTCATCCTCCTCCTCCTCCGCCTCTGCCTCCGCCTCCCTCTCCGCCTCCGCCTCCTCTTCCTCCTCCTCCTCCTCCTCCGCCCCTGCCCCCGCCTCCGCCTCCGCCTACGCCTCCTCTTCCTCATCCTCCTCCTCCATCCTCCTCCTCCTCCTCTTCCACATCCTCCTCCTCCTCCTCCTCCTCCTTCACCTCCTCCTCCTCCTCCTCCTCCTCCTCCTCCTCCTAGCATGCGGACGGACGGTTGGTGGCGCGCACGGCGCGCTCCTCCTGCACCTGCACAGCCATCGCGGTGTTCGCGGGCACTGCGGGGGTGGGTCGGAGGCCCCGCCCGGGTGGCGACTCGTTTCCCTCCCCCTCCTCCTCATCCTCCTCCGCCTCCTCCTCCTCCTCCTCCTCCTCCTCCTAGGCCTCCTCCTCCTCCTCCTCCTCCTCCTACTCCTCCTCATTATCCTTTCCTGCTCCTGCTCCACCGCCTCCTCCGCCTCCTCCTGCTCCTCGTCCTCCTCGTCCTCCTCGTCCTCCTCCTTCTCAGCCTCCTCCTCCTCCGTTTGGTTTTCGCTTGGGCTTGTTTTGCAAAATGATGTTCTCGCTGAGGCGCGGGCTTCATTTTCGGGCTTCCGCTCGTTCCGAATCGTGCTCCCGCTGCAGCGCTGGCCTCATTTCCGTGCTTCCGCTCGTTCCGAATCGTGCTCCCGCTGCAGCGCTGGACTCATTTCCGCGCTTCCGCTCGTTCCGAATCGTGCTCCCGCTGCAGCGATGGCGTCATTTCCCGTGCCATGCCACGGCATGCAATGCAATGCTAGGTTGCGTTCCGCTGCGCGATGCCATGCCTTCAGCTGCAACTGTCATACCCAGTGCGTAAGTGCCACGTCATGGTATGCCATGTTACGCTTTGATCTTCAACGCCATGCTATGCAGTGTTATGTTCGGGGCCGCTGTGCGATGCCATGCTTTGCGTTGCAAAGCTTTGTGATGCATTTCTTCACTACGCCACGCCACGCCATGCTGTGACATACTACGCTTTGCGGTGCTCTTCTACGCCATGTCATGCCTTGCTCTACAATGCATCGCGTACCCTTTCGGGATCATTGCCCTGCTCAACATCCGACTGTGCGAGTAGAGAGGGGATCTACGCCATGGTAAGGGATGGGAGGGAGGGGTAGGATGTCAGGTATAACGCGAGCGCACCTAGCTTGTCCTCCTCCCCCTCCTCCTCCTCATGTTTCGCCTCGGCCGCCTGCCGTTGCTCCTCCTCCTCCTCCTCCTCCTCTTCCTCCTCCTCTTCCTCTTTTGGTGGCTACAGCTGATGGTCCAGAGGCATGCTGATAACGTGCTTGTGTTGGCACTCTTGTACGGTACTCTCGCTGACGAGAAGAAGCCCGGGCTATCTAACGACGTAAAATGACTCCCCGAGGGCGCACGAATGGGCATCGCAATTTGCCGATGACCTGGCTGCCCTGGCAGACATCACCAGCACCGAAGACATTGCCGAAGCTGTGCAATACCCTCTCTGGTGTTCCACGGACAGCGAGGTCATGGATGCAGTTATTTGGGCGGGCGCTGGCATTATCGGGTCACGTTTTCCTCCGTTGCCGTACCTAATCCTGAAAATGCTTCTCCTTATCTTCATCAAGGTGGAGTTGATCGTCCTGGCTGTCATGTTCAATAGGTGTGCGGTACTGTGGATTTACATGGGCCTGTGTGTATCCCGCTCAGTGTCCAGGACAGACAAAAGTCTTCCCCTCCCCCAGCTCCTCTTCTTCCTCCTCCTCCGCCTCCTCCTCCTCGGCGACCACCGCCGCCGCATCATCCTCCTCCTCCTCCGCCTCCTCCGCCTCCTCCGACTCCGACTCCGACTCCGACTCCTCCTCCTCCACCTCCTCCTCCTCCTCATGTTCCTGTTCCACCTCCTTCTCCGTCGCCTCCTCCTCCTTTTCCGTCTCCTCCTCCTCCTCCTCCTCCTCCTCCTCCTCCTCCTCCTCCTCCTCCTCCTCCTGCTCCTCCTCCGCCTCCTCCTCCTCGTGCGCCTGTTCCGCCTCTTCCGCCTCTTCCACCCTCCTCCACTCCTCCTCCTCCTCCTCCTCCTCCTCCTCTCCTCCTCCTCCTCCTCCTCCTCCTCCCCTCCTCCTCTCCTCCTCCTCCTCCTCCTCCTCCTCCCTCCTCCTCCCCCTCCTCCTCCTCCTCCTCCTCCTCCTCCTCCTCCTCCTCCTCCTCCTCCTCCTCCTCTCCTCCTCCTCCTCCTCCTCCTCCTCCTCCTCCTCCTCAGCCTCCTCCTCCTCCTCCTCCTCCCCTCCTCCTCCTCCCTCCTCTCCTCTCCTTGCCCTCTGCTCCGCTCCTGCGCCTGTTCCTCCTCCCCTTCCCCGTCCCCCTCCCCCTCCTCCTCCCCCTCCCCCACCCCTCCCCCCTCCCCCTCCCCCTCCCGCAGCACCCGCAGCCGCCGAGGGCGAAAACTGCCCGTTCGGCCGCTTCTCTGCATTTTTCTGTGGGCCTGATTTGTTTGAAATGACTCTTGTGATAACGGAAAGCCTGAAGATCTCCTTCCCCCTCCCCCTCTCGTCCTCCTCCCCCTCCTCCTCCTCCTCCTCCTCATCCTCCTCCTCCTCCTCATCCTCCTAGGATCTGACTGATAAGGCTGGGCCTCCCTGCTCTGCTTTTTCCGCTAGAGCTTCGAAGTTTCGTCCCCGATTTTCGACCCACGACCCCACGGCCGTGCCCTGCCTTTAAAGCTTCGGGCCCTCCAGCCGAGGTGGGGTAAGGTGGGCGGGAGCAGAGCGCACCTAGTGCCACGCGTGACCTGATTATATGGAGTCACTGCGCCCTCTAGAAGCGAGTCAGTTCGGAGCTTACAGTAATTTTGGCTTCGGAGTTCCCCGCGTTGCTGCAGGATCATCTGGCACCCTTCTGCAGAGTCGTTCGTTCGTTCGTTCTCCTCCTCCTCCTCCTCCACCTCCTCCTCCTCCTCCTTCACCTCCTCCTCCTCCTCTTACCTCTTGCTTGCCTTGGGGGGTGAGTCCATTGAGGTACCCCTCTAGAGAGAGAGAGAGAGAGAGAGAGAGAGAGAGAAAGAAAGAAAGAAAGAAAGAAAGAAAGAAAAATCCTGGGCCACCTCCATCAACTTTTGTCACCTCAGGAACCAGGGGCGAGATGTGGAACCTGAGGCCGCGACAGGAGGTGGACCCAGGCTTCTGATCATTCAGGCCAAGCCTTAAGATCAGGAGGAAGTTGCCCAGCCATCAGAGCCCTCCCCACCCTCCTCCCATGGTCTGCGAGGCCAGGAACACACGTTCGCCCCAAGTTCAACAATTTGCCTCTTGAGGGAACCCCTGATCCTCCACAGAGTTGGCACCAATACACGCCCCTGTAAGCTTCCAGCTTATGGGAGGGGTGGATGGTGGTGGGCTGGCCTGGGCAGGTCGACCGAAGGAAAGCCTCTCGCTCGCCCCCATCGGACTGAAAACACACAGTGCAGCGCCAGGAAACTCGCGCCCTCTGCTCCACGACGTGAGACGACTGAGAAACGAGGAGGACCAGCTGCGATTCCTTTTCCTGACGCAAAACCGCAGGGGAAATCTTAGCCTCCTCCTGGCGGTTGCCCTTAGACGCTGCTCCGTAAAGGTTGGGGGCCTGCTGAACTAAGGCCATAGACACCGCCAAGATGGAGTCAAGAACTTCGTGACACAAATTATCAGATTCGGCTACCTGTCGCGTTGCATGAAACGGGATCTGGGCCATCTCAGCCCCTTTCTCTGCAGCCTTATCCGCCAGACGATTTGCCTGCCAGTGGACTGGGTCGAAGCCAAGGGTGACTGCATCCTCGTGAGAGAGGTGGGATCGGATCTTGTGCACTGTGATCGGACGATCACCAACTGCGCGCCAGAGGTCCTTCCACATCGAAATCATCTTTTTGGCATGAAACGGGGCCCTGCACGAATTCCCCGCACGACACCATCATTATCTATCACGCACTCTATGGGGCCTGTGGTGAGCTGGGCCGCACGAGTGATATCATACAGTTCAGCTGCTGGCACTGTCTGGTTATCACACGGCAGAGGGCCAAGCCCCCACGCTACGTGCCGGGCGCCTCGCAAGATGGCAAAGCCCCAGCCGCATCTCCTCAGCCGAGGATCCGAACCCTCCTCACCCCCCGCCCCGTCCGACCCGATCACACACCCCAGATCAAGCTCATCAGGATTAGCCTCGAGCTTGTCCGAGAGCTTTTCCCCCCCCTGGATCGGGACACACACATGCTGGCACGCCCAGGCCAGGGGAGGCAGACCTCGGAGCCAGAAAGACGGGGCGTCTCCCGACTCAGCTTCCGCCTGCCTCCTCAGGGAGGCGCTGAAACCTGGGATGGGGCCATCCAGAGGACAACTCCAGAGCTGGCGGAGATGGGTCTCTTGAGGCGCTCCACACCGAGGGCAGGAAGGAGAGGGCCAGACTGGGTTGGGCCCAAGGATGGGCTCGTCATCACATAAGCCACCGCGCAAGTCCTCTTGAAATTGAAATTCGTCTGCTACGCGCGACGCCTCGTCTAGCATCGCATCGAAATCACATTCCTCCTCGTCTATGCCAAGCGAGGCTCGCGGAGGGTCGGAAGGGAGGGGAGCTCCAACCTCAGGACCTGGGGCCGGCTCAGTCGAGAGCTCGGGGGCCTGGGGCCTCGGGAAGGGCCACAGGGCCCCCGACAAAATCATTTCTAAAACTCCAGCCTTGTCGCAGGCTCCCGAGGCTCTAAGTTTGTTCAACCTCCGGAGCGGCACAAACATGTCAGCTCGACCTGTCAAACTGCTGCCATGATAACGATCGCTGGCTTTTTCCAGGCTAGAACAACAAACGCCTCCAGCAAGTCAACCGCGAGACGTTCTGGGTCACAGGCGAGCACATGGAAAACCTCACCATCCGTTCCAATCCAGGTGGTGGGATCCTGCGGCGCCCAGCCTGCTTCCAGCAGGCAGGCAACAGCGGCGGCCACAAAGCCTTAGACTCGCTTCCAGCGGGTGGCAGGGCCCTGCAGTCGGGTTAGCTCTTGTCCCCACGCTTTGCGGAGACCATGCTGGTTAGCCTCCTGCAGGCTCGGGAGCAAGTGAATCCACTCCTTCAAAACTCGCATTCTGGTCGAGATCATGGGGTCATGGTGGGGGTCCTGGAAAGCACAACGCAGAACCGTGGTAGCACACCCCCCTTCTCGCCCCCCCACCATGCCCGCCATGGCCGCTCTGGCCTTTAAGGCCAGGGTCGGACTCGCTCCTTGGGCCTCAAGGCCCCAAAGAGCCTGGGCTGACCACCCAGTCCGTGCTAACGT